GCCCCTGTATGCATCTGAGGGCGTACCCTGACGTCTGAGGTACCCAACTGCAGCTCCAATGGTGTCTTACACTGGCGGATCCAGGGAGGGGGCATTTAGGGCCATGCCCCTTTCCCAGAGGCCTAAAGTGGCCCGTTTGCCCCTCCCCCAAACGATAATGAAACATAGTTCAATCAGTGCGTGGCCCAGCAGCCGAGTTAGACTGGGGGTGTTTTACCACCTCCCGGCCCGCAAAGGGACCCAAGAACTGACTCGAAGCGGGTTAACTGCTCGACAAAAGCAATGGTAAGTGTTCACAAAGTAATATAAAGGCATGGGTCGGGTGGACTACCATTTATATATTTTTCTTTTTAGTTAAAAAAAATTAATAGTGTCAGAGCTGTGACGAAAAATAAGTGGCCTAAATCCGATGAGAAAACAGGATTTGGGGGTACCCTAGGTTTGGCTCCGCATGAGTTGGCCCCCCCCAAAACGCAAGCCTGGATCCGCCAGTGGGTATGCATGTATTGTGTAGGTCGTCATGTATGTTAGTGTGGATGAAAGAAAGTTGCCGTCGTAATACCGTCATACGTGGCGCTTACGGCTGAAACAATGTACGTGCGGTTGTATGAGTGTAGGTAACAGTATGCTGGCAGGCCAGCGGTGACCCGGACAGCAGTGACGGAGGACAAGCAAAGGGGCGAACGGGCCCGGAGCGCTAATGGCGTGCCGAACACCTCCGGTGCGTCGTACCGCACTGGCGAGAGCACCTCCGTCCAAACCCTCGAGTCGTCCGCGGTGCCGGGAGGTGGCAAGTACGACGGCAATCACATGAACGTCCACGGCGGCAAGCACGGCGGCGATCAGACGAACAACCACGGTGGACCGACCCCGCGGAACCGGCCGATCATCCGGTCACCGACGGCTGAGACATCCCGACGCGCGAACCACCAGACTACATTGCCAACTGTTCAGCCCGTGGGCCGACCAGACCGCCACCTGGATGGTACCCATCCGACTGACGGCAATCACCAAGCGACGGACACCAGATAACGCCCCGAGCCCAAGCAAACGAGCCGACGGCTCCACGCCCGCCCCAGGGGCTCCGAAATCGCAACAGGACTCAGCTGCAGCGCCGCAGGCCCCAGCTGCTGCACCCGAATGCACAAGCGGATGCCGTGCGGAAAGACAAGGCAAAGCTGCAGAACGTGATGACGCTGCGAACGCTGCTGCTGCTGTGGCGGCAACGAGGCCACCACGGACGCTGCCGTGTGTCCACATCAGCAATTACGGCAGCACCATCCTGGAAACGACACGCCGAGCTATACTGCCATCTGGTGAGCCCGGGTGACGGTCAGGACCACCACCTGTATCGCATGCGACCACTTGGCAACCGACAATAGCAACGAGTACCACCATGTGGAGTCCCAAAGCGGCCGAGCCAAAGCCAAAGTCGCATCCTGAGCTGCTGTACCGCAAGCCAAGCTGCCGCAGCGAACCGCAAATGGAAACGCTGCAGAAGCTGATGCCGCGCGGAAAGAGAGCACATGCTGCAGGACACGATGACGCTGCAGAAACGGATGCTACGCAAAAGGGCCGAGGCGGCTACGTAGGCGGACGCCACTGCAGAGCAAGATGTTGCCGAGGCGCCGCACTACAATGCTTTTTGATCACTGGTGCGCCGCGCAAATCGTCGCCGGGGAGGCGCGCGCGCCCGACATACCGTGGAGGCTGGTGCGCCGTCCCATCGTCACCGAGGAGGCGCGCGCACCCGTCCATGCCGTGAAGGCTGGTGCGTCGCGAACATCGTCGCCGTGGAGGCGCGCGCACCCAACATGCCGTGGAGGCTGGTGCGCCGCGCACATCGTAGCCGTGGAGGCGCGCGCACCCACCATGCCGTGGAGGCTGGTGCGCCGCGCACATCGTCGCCGTGGAGGCGCGCGCACCCCACATGCCGTGGAGGCTGGTGCGCCGCGAACATCGTCGCCGTGGAGGCGCGCGCACCCAACATGCCGTGGAGGCTGGTGCGCCGCGCACATCGTCGCCGTGGAGGCGCGCGTACCCACCAATGCCGTGGAGGCTGGTGCGCCATCGTCGCCGTGGAGGCGCGCGCACCCAACATGCCGTGGAGGCTGGTGCGCCGCACACATCGTAGCCGTGGAGGCGCGCGTACCTACCAATGCCGTGGAGGCTGGTGCGCCATCGTCGCCGTGGAGGCGTGCGCACCCACCATGCCGTGGAGGCTGGTGCGCCGCGCACATCGTAGCCGTGGAGGCGCGCGCACCCACCAATGCCGTGGAGGCTGGTGCGCCGCGCACATCGTCGCCGTGGAGGCGCGCGCACCCAACATGCCGTGGAGGCTGGTGCGCCGCGAATGTCGTCGCCGTGGAGGCGCGCGCACCCAACATGCCGTGGAGGCTGGTGCGCCGCGCATATCGTAGCCGTGGAGGCGCGCGCACCCACCAATGCCGTGGAGGCTGGTGCGCCGCGCACATCGTCGCCGTGGGGGCGCGCGCACCCAACATGCCGTGGTGGCTGGTGCGCCGCGCACATCGTCGCCGTGGAGGCGCGCGTACCCGCCAATGCCGTGGAGGCTGGTGCGCCATCGTCGCCGTGGAGGCTGGTGCGCCGCGCACATCGTAGCCGTGGAGGCGCGCGCACCCACCAATGCCGTGGAGGCTGGTGCGCCGCGCACATCGTCGCCGTGGAGGCGCGCGCACCCAACATGCCGTGGAGGCTGGTGCGCCGCGCCCATCGTCGCCGTGAAGGCCGCAAATCGTCGCCGTGGAGGCTGGTGCGCCGCGCACATCGTCACCGTGGAGGCGCACACCCACCGAAGCCGTGGAGGCTGGTGCGCCGCGCACATCGTCGCCGTGGAGGCGCGCGCACCCACCAATGCCGTGGAGGCTGGTGCGCCGCGAATGTCGTCGCCGTGGAGGCGCGCGCACCCGACATGCCGTGGAGGCTGGTGCGCCGCGCACATCGTCGCCGAAGAGGACACCGTCGCGCCAGTGTTGCAGGACATAATGAGGCTGCAAAAGCGAAATGCCGCGCGGGGATGCCGATGCTGCGGAAACGCCAAGATGCTGCAGTAGTGGACGCCGCTGCACGATGTTGAGGGACATGTGGACGAAGGAGAAGCTACGGAAGCTGACCGTCGCGGAGCCGTCGCCGAAGAGGAAAACGTCGCGGTGCCGTCGCGGCAGAGGAAGTCGTGACGCTAAAAAAAAAACACACACACACACGATTGCCGAGCCGCCCCAAAGTAAGGGGATTTAACCCCAGGCCCGAAGAGGGGGGCATTTATGTAAGGTGTGTCGCGGTGTGTTTGTTAAGGTGTATCGCGGTATGTGCCTTTTGGTTTTTGGTTTATAGCTAGAAATTCGTGTAGCGGTATGTTCTTTATGTTTTCGCTCGCCTTTTGACTCGCCTTTTGACATTTATTTATGTAAGGTGTGTCGCGGTGTGTTTGTTAAGGTGTATCGCGGTATGTGCCTTTTGGTTTTTGGTTTATAGCTAGAAATTCGTGTAGCGGTATGTTCTTTATGTTTTCGCTCGCCTTTTGACTCGCCTTTTGACATTTAGAAACACGTCGAGGTCAGCGTAGTCAGAACCGTACCTAAGTCACTGTCGCCCGATCGATTTTAGCCTCAGACCGGGTGACAGGACTTATCCACCTTCGGGCGAGTATATAACCGCAGCGGGGAGTGAGAACGGGGAGTGCCTGTACGCCGACCAGGCTGCAACGCTGCACCCGACCTCATCCACGCTGCTGGTAAGCTGGCTCGAAGGTAGGTTCCGACTACGCAGGGATGCTGTGCGGGCTCAAGGCACATCCCATAGATAGGTAGGAGCAAGCGGGTGGAGGGTTAGGTTAGCATGCGTGGCGTTAGGGTATTGTTAGGGTAGATTGCGTTCGCGGTAGGAAATAGGTTTCTAAAAGGATAACGTGAAATTAGCGCAGTCCGTTATGACCACATCACGAAATTATGAACAATAAATGGGGCGTTGAATTGACCAGATGCTTTTGGTAACGGGATGAGTCGGAGGAGAACGGTGAATGAGCGGAGTCTAACTTTATCGGTACATTAGTAAAGTCATCAATGGCCAGGAGCTTCACTCCTAAACCCATAAGGGCGCGCTACCAACCGCGGCGTGCCTCAAAATGGCGGAGTGATTCACACTGGTACCACGATGCATTGTAACTTCACGTAAAATAGTAGAATTAGACATTGGGATGTTCGTGGCCCGAGTGGCAGTCGGGCACAGGCTGGGAGACGTCTTAGCCTAACACGGACATCATGTAGAGTAGTAGTTATACAATCAGAGGGGAGGCTGCGAAAGGCCAAAAGGACCGGCCCGAGCCCCCCCTACAAACCTATACCGTGCTTTCTGCCACATTTTCGGTACACAAATGTCTTTGTCCATCAGGTCATATTGGCCAATCATCTAAAAATTCCATAATAAAACTTTACCTAAAGTCTCTTCACTTTTCATTGTGAATTCCATTATTCCCGTCGGCGATATTGGTAAATAAGAAATGAAATGCCGACCGAACGCCATCAGTCAGACATCATTAACTTTACGCTCACGACTTTCCTTCGTGGGACAAATAGGCGTCCTCTTTCCACCTTCAATATCTACGGCTATTTTTTCCGCTATTCGCGATCGCGCAAAAAGCGTCTCAAAGCCCCATTGACTTACTATGGGGAAAATGGAATTGCACGTGCCACGCGCAAAAGATTTCTGAGCGAGTAGCGACCGATGCCATCAGGTAGATCACCTCCGGAAGCCCATATGCTGAAATTTTTACGAAGATTGAACGACGCGTTTAGGCCACGCTCAAGTTGCCCCAATTCGCGGCCAGACATGCAAAACATAGCCCGGAGAACGACCGCTCCGGTTGTTTTTCAATAGAAAAACACAATTCTAACGAAAAGTGTTTGTCTTTTCAAACAACCTGCGGTTATCGAAACGTCACGTCCAAATATTCCAATGGCGCCTGATAGCTCAAACATAAGTGACGCACGTTACAGTTTATTGTACGAGACACGCAGCGTCAGGCAGCTGAGGAATATCTAATATTGCACCGTCAAGTCGCGAAGACTTCATCGCCCGTGACACCACACAAATACACCAAATCCGCAATAGAAACACAGTCTTTTGTTGACACTCAACGTCCATACGTGCAGATCCCAAATGACTCGAAACATGTTGCAAAACGTAACACAAATGTCTCACTGGCACACCATTACCTGTCGATCGTTTACCCGCTCCCGACGACTACCCGCCAAAAGATCCTCAGTTCATTATCACTGGTACGGGATAGGGGCTTCGCGGCGACTTTTATCACATCTACCATTACACACCTATCGAAAAATATACCGGCTCTACAGATTCACGGACTCGCGTGTGCCCGGTACAAAAACCGCCCTCCCGGTCACACCTCACAACACTGCTGAGCACCATTGACCATCGATTATCAACCATCGACCATCGACCATCGATTATCAACCATCAACCAACCAACCAGCGGCCGGTGACGTCACTACTCGAGCTCCACCAGCACCTGTTCATCGTCGACGGTATCGCCCTCCTTGACGTGCACGGCCTTGACCTTGCCGGCTATGGCGGCCACCAGGGAGTTCTGCATCTTCATGGCCTCGATGACGCACACCTCCTGGCCGTCCGAGACGAGGTCACCCACGCCGACAGCCACCGATTTCACCAGGCCCGGCATCGGCGAGGCCACCTGCCGGCTGGCGTCCGCCTGTACGGGACACGGGCGGAGGTTAGGGTGAGGCGGTATCGAACGCGTGGATGATGTGATGTGGGACTGAGGAAAAGTACCTAACAGCAAATTGCCAGTAACTGTTGAACTGGGCGTGCAAAAACAATGTGGGATATCACCTGACACAAGAATTCAAAACGCTAGGTGACACTTAAAATATAAAGAAACAGCCTTACAAAAAAAAACGCTCGTCACCGAACCATATTCAAGGTAGCTGCAGCTTTTTAGAGGCCTGCCTTACCTTTTCTCTCTTTGGCATGAGTTTGAAGTATTTGTAAGCTGTGTCCGAGTACACCTGAACGTCGAACGCCGTGCCACGGAACCTGAAAAACACAACACCATGTCACGAACAATAAAATAAATGACCATTCCTTGTTCTGATAGACAACCATATGCCAAGGAAAAGTAGATCGACTGCTGAATTCTGGGGATACCTATCATGTTACCAAAATGCCTCTTTCACACCGCCGCTAAATCGACAGGAATCTCAGCCGGCCTGCTTCCACCAACCACCGCACCCACCACAGACTGGCGTCTGACCCACGGCGCCACCAAACGCTGCCGGCCCGACTCCGCCCACCGCCCCGGGCGACGGCCGGTCAGCGGCAGGGGCAGAGCCAGGGCCGGCTGCCGGGGAGGCGCGGCCGCTGCCGCACGGTACGGGTGGCACCACCGCGCTGTAGCCACGCCACTGTGACACGAATCCCCACCCTCTCTACGGACTCAGCCGTCCCTACTCGGCTTGAATGCGTTCGTAATAAGGGCAAAGCACCAGCAACAGCCAATTATGCTCTTTTAATCGTACTTGTCTTTCTAACGTGGCTGTCTTTGCAATTAAAATTCTTGTTATGCTTCATGATCCAAACACCGTCGCTACGGTCAATCTGCCACCCGATGTCGATCACACCCGCTCACCTGGCGGTGGCGTCTCTTCTGATCGCGCTATGCCGTCCGATGTCCGCCCACTCACATAACTGTGGCTTCTCCCCTGACGCCGCGTTTTGTCGTCCCATGTCCGCCCGCTCGCCTCGCCTGAGCCGGAGCCCGCTCTGTCGTCCTAGGTCCGTCCATTCAGTACAGTAGCTAGCTCACCTGACTGTGGCGTCTCTTCTCACCCTGCTCAGCCGCTCGATGTCGGTCCGCCCACTCACCGGACTGTGGCGTCTCGTCTGAGACGCCACAATCCGGTTAGGTTAGGTAAGATTAGGTTAGCTGGTTATGTCCGCCCGCTCACCTGACGGTGGCGTCTCCCCTGACGCCGCGCCGCAGCAGCTGCACCATCTCCCTCTCTCCATCCACAGCCGTCGAGATGACCGGCTGCGCCAGGTTGAACGTGTCGGCCACGAGCAGCGAGCGGCCCTCCACCGTCACCTGGTACCCGTCCTGGACGACTTCGACTGTGAGCGGCACGTCACCGGCCGGGCCGCACAGAACCACCTGTAGACGAGAGAGGAGGGGTTACACTCCAGCCCCCATCGTCTCTGCACGACCGCACAGCTCCATCTGCACACAGGGGGAGGGGATAGCTGGTATGCCGTATGCCGTAGCGGGAGTCAAAATAAACTTTCAACGTCAGCAACGCATGCTGCACGGCACCAGCGGAGAAACAGGATGTAAAGCCAACAAGTTACAGCGAATGTCACAAAGAATCAGCGTCGTCTAAGCGTACCAAAAGTGCGACATATCATCGTAAGCTTCACCAGGTTCCTATTGGTGACCACTGGCCGCCCCGTCCACATCAGGTCCCATTTGGTGGCCACAGACCACCCTCCTGTCATCAACCACTCACCAGGTCCCATTTGGTGGCTACCGGCTGCAGCGCGTGGTGTCCGCTGACCAGACTGGAGCGCTGCGTGTGCTTGACGTGGATGACGGCCGAGAGGGCGGCCAGTCGCAGCAGAGATTCACCCTCCAAACGGTGGCCCTGGAACCCGTCCGGGTACACCTGGAACGGGGCGAACAGTGAGTACACGGCACACGAGAACACAGAAAATGGTCAGCATACGAAACACGGAAATAAACTTGTAATAACGTATTGCATGGACTGAAATACGACCAAACGTCCCGCTAAATCAACTAAATCACTTTCTCTAATCAACAGCTTTAGAGAAACTTGTAAAATAAAAGCGCAAAAACAAGCAAACTGAGAGGCATTGCATTTACCTTAAGGTGAGACAAGGTGATACGACAGCAATTATCCTAAGCTCAGAGTCATGTTTCGTAACCTATGTGATGTCTTAGCTCCGGTTTCGGCAGCCCATTGTCCCAATGCCAGCCGCCCCACCTCTGGCAGGTAGTTGGTGGTGATGTCGCCGCTGACGAAGCGCGGCTCGGTCAGGATGTCCCTCAGTAGCGGGATGTTGTGCGTCACCCCCTGGATGACATACGAGTCGAGCGCGTCCAGGCTGCGCGCGATCGCCTCCTGACGACTGTTGCCATACGCCACCAGTTTGCAGATCATCGGGTCGTAGTAGATGCTGATGTCCGAGCCCTCGGCCACGCCCGAGTCGCACCGCACCTGGATGGGAGCGACGGAAAATGGGTGTCATGGGATGACGGAATAGACGATGGTTTCGAAATAAAATGACGGGAAACCAGCCAGAGGGCTGACACGACCTGAGCTGATAAGGTCGAGTACATTGCTGGAACACATTGACCTTTACGGCAGCGCCTTCCCGTTATGGTGAACGCCGTAGTGAGCGCCATGAGGAATGTATCCGGTACACAGTGACAGTACACACATAATAATGCCAGTCAAGAAAAAGGACTCAGCAAAGAACCCACATAAGCTAATGACACCTAGGACGTCAAAACATTTGCACACCAAAATCGATGCTGTAAAAAGGCACCTTTTACCGTCTGCACCACTCGCCACTGAATGTCAAAGTGGGTCTGAGACTCGGTCACAGCCGGACAAAGGCCACTATTCCAGCAGCACACTGACCACTATTGTGCGGGTTGCTCGCGCCAGGGAGGCTCACCCCGGGAAGGTGGTTGGGTTCGATGTATTTGGACAGCCGGCCGACCGACGGCAGGCCGAAGTTCTTGAACGGATCCTCGGCGTAGACGCGTGACTCGATCGCCCAGCCGCGGATCGGAATGTCCTCCTGCTTCAGCTTCAGCTTGTGGCCTGGAGGCAGAGAGGGTCGGACGCTCAAAACCTCATGACTAGCAGCTGATATAAACTGATAAAACATTTTACATAGGTACAAATTCCCTGGCACCTTTGGTACAATGCACAAAACAACATACGCTGTGAACTCCTACATTCTTGGTTCATCACAGGTCCCTACCCTGAACTCATGCACTCTCTGCGTTGCACCTGACCGTAAGCGATCCACGCCACACCACCTTCAGGCCTGCGCACCTTTAGCGACTCGGATCATCTGCTGCACGAGGTCGACGCCGGTGATGCACTCTGTGATGGGGTGCTCCACCTGCAGGCGGGTGTTCATCTCCAGGAAGTAGAAGTTGCGCGCGCTGTCCACCAGAAACTCGACGGTGCCAGCCGAGCTGTAGTTGATGCGGCGGGCCAGCGCCACCGCCTGCTGGCCCATGGCGCGGCGCGTCTCCTCGTCCAGAAACACACTGGAAAAGAGAACAAGATATACCGTCACACAGTCCAGAAACACGCTGGGAAGGGCAATAAGATATACCGTCACACAGTGCAGAAACACGCTGCAAAGGAGAAGAAGATATAAAGTCACAAAGTACAGACACACACTGGAAAGGAGAAGAAGATATACCGTCACACAGTCCAGAAACACGCTAGAACGAAAAATCCGACAAACTGTCCAGAAACTCGTTGGAAAGGAGAATCAGTCACACAGTCACACAGTCCAGAAACATATAAGAAAGGGCAACAACATATATAGTCACAAGCTAAATAGGAGAGGCTAGTCAGACATCCCGTCACAACTCACATAGTCCAGAAGCACGCTGTGCATGGCAGTCAGGCTGTTTCGCCACATGGAAAAGAAACTTGCTTGGTAGGCTATTCACTGATCAAAAGGACTTGAAGACACCTAAAAACATTCAATTCCGCTCTGCATTGTATAATAAATGGATTGACGGGGGTGTGCAGCTGCTCGATGTAAACCGTTCGTTAGCTCCTTGTGAACCATTCATGCAGCTGTATGCCGTCTGTCTGTGAGGCTCCGCACGGACGGTCCGTACAAGACATGTGTGACACGGCGTGGGCGGTCTGCGACCTACCTGGGTGCCTCCTCGATGACCTTTTGGTTGCGTCTCTGTATGGAGCACTCTCGCTCGTTCAAGTAGACGGCATTGTTGTGCTGGTCCGCCAGCACCTGTCAGGAACGACATACACGCGCGGTGAGAAAAAATATAAAGATAAAAATCAAAATGTCTATTAGTCACCCTTCGCAGTAGAACACCCCTCTAATGTTAACTCGATTGCAATTCATCCATATGGGCATGGCGGATAATAACGACGCACTGAATGACCCTCTAAGGACCCTCTAGGCGCCATGTGCCCTAACATAGCACTGCAGAGTGCAGAACCTCGAGTCATTATTATGGTGGCCTGCATCAATCTCCGGCCGCGGCTAGGACCCACATCTGACCTTAGCTTCGATATTATGTCTGGAGCAAAGAGCCCCCTATTATTCTCACGTCATCTAATGTTCTGCAGACGCAGCCGGAACCCGCTTCTAACCCGAATCTCGATTTGTCTGGGACAGTGAGCCCTCTACCATACTCGCGACATCTAACGTGTTGCTGTGGGATCAGTCTCTGACCTGAATCTCGATGTGTCTGGGACAGTCGACGAATTTCTCCACCAGGATTCTGTCGTCTCCGAAACTGGAGGCCGCTTCCTGCTGCGAGAGTCGGAAACCTTCCCTGGGAATCAAACGGTACGGTGTAAAACGAAACAATCAGCACTGGGAAGGCATGCTATCGTTTATCAGAGCCACCCATTGGACTAAAGTAAAAACGCAGTTAACTTAACTCCTTTTAAGCTGTGATCATACAAACGCATCTGGGCGCACAATGCACATCAGAACTGAGCCCGCGACAAAATAGCTGTTGATGTTTGAGCTAGTACAAAAGGTATCCCTTGAATATCGCCGTCATTTCTCCGGCACGCGCTCACCTGGCCTCGTCATCGTTTCTGGCGATGCGCATGCCCTTTCCGCCGCCGCCGGCCGACGCTTTAATCATCACCGGGTAGCCGATCTCCCGGGACACGGCCACGCAGTGGTCCACGTCCCTGATCTCGCCCTCGAAACCTGCCGCGTGACCGCACAGACTGGTCACAATCTGCGTCACTTACGTAAAAACTGGTCAATACATGCACAACCCGCCGCGCACTGCACAGAAAATCAATTCAAAGGACCATTAGAAATAGGATTAAAATTAGACGTGGAACATAACGCTCAAAATTTGACGGACAACCAGTCCAAATGGGGAACCAAAGGAGAAAAAGTGCTAAAAAGCGACTTTCGAGGTTTTAAGGCTTGGAATAAATGCGTTTTTGCGTAAATGAAATACCTGATGCTCAGAGGAAAGAAAAATTATCATCAAACGGATTTTGAGGCCAATAGGAGTACGCCCTGACGTCGCACTGTATCGAACTAGCACATAGCTAGCGAAGTCGTTTCAGGACAGTTTTCGTCCAAACCTAGAAATGTTATAAGCCATACACGGTAGATGATGACAAGTCTCTGGAAACCCTTTGAATGAAACATGCCGCTTGCCACTGCCTACCCTCATCCCAGTTGGGCGTGGAAAAGGTGTATAGGTGTTTGGGTGTCGGTAGCTGGAGGCAGATGGAAGCCAGCGCCGGCGGCCTTCCATCATCTAATGCGTCTGCTTTTGTCCGATGCCCTCACTTCGTAGTAGCCATTGCGGCCGCTGACACCATGACTGTCCAGGGTCGACTGTGTCATGTCATTGGGCTAAAATGATGAGCCATTCAGCGCGGTAAGTGACCACGACCGCGTGTATTATCCTCCATAATGTTGGAGCCTAGGAGGAGACATGGCAAACATCGCGAAAGTAACGACTTTGCCGAGCGCCAGACGACTCGGACAAACCTTCAATAATCGACGGCGCTGCGCAATCCATGGAAGTGAGCCATGTTCGCATCTCATAATGGTAAAAACTAATAAGCGTCATAACTATCAGGGTGATTTGATATTTGCAGAGTGATTTGATATCCGTTTGATATTTGATATTTGCAGGCATCCATTCTGAAAAATGGCAATGCATAGGGCAAGAGGAGGAGCGACCCGGCCAAAACACCACCTAAATCGATTGCCGCAGCACGGGCGGAGTCGCAGCAAATGCCGCCACTTTGTAATCGTCCAGACGCCTGCCGGAGGCCGCACTGTCGGGTGCCTCGCTCCGGGCCCTGAGGTCAATAATGATCGGGTTATTCGCCCACAGCCCTGAGGATCATCTATCACCGTGTCAGCCATACGGCGCTCATACACAGAGTGAATTATTTTCTCCAGACTACTAACTTCAGATAGAGTTGAGGGAAGGTCGGTTCAGCTTGAGCCAGGCCAGGTTGGTTTAGATTCGGCCAGATCATGTCAACTCAGATCCCGCCGCAGCCACTCTCCGGAATGCCGGTCGCCCCTGAACCAGCCACGCGCGGCGTGCTGTCCCGCTGGCCGGCGCCGTGGCGTCTGGCTGCCGTGCTGGCGGGTGTCCTGCCAGTGAGCGGCGCTGTCAGCGGACAACCTCCGTACCGACACCGGTACTGCTCGGCACCCGTTCTCATCGGCCTGCTCACCGGCCTCCTGATCATCATCCAGAACGGCACGTGGCTCGCGCCGGGCGCCATCCGGCTCTACGGCATATCCAGTCTGGCGCTGGCTGTGCTCTTCAAGCTGGTCATCAACGTGCCGACGATGGCGTCCGTGTTGCTGCTGGTGGCTCACGGTCCACGGTTGCCCGGTCTGCTCGACCGCACCGACCGGCTAGTGGTGTCTCCGGAAGCGGCGGTCGGCGGCCGCGCCAGCCGCCTGCTGCTCGCAGCACTGATGGCCGCCAGAGGCGCGCTGGCGGTGTGGGACCTGCTGAGCGCCGACGACGTCCTGGCGCCGACGCTCAACCAGCTGCCGCAGCTGTGGTCGTCCATCATGAGCCCAGTGATCACCTGGCGCGCACAGACTCTGCTGGCGCTAGATATTCACCTTCTGACGCAGCTGAGCGCCGCGTTCGACTCGATCTCTGAGGGGCTGGAGCGACTGCTGGCACCCCAGCCGCAGCAGCCGCCTCCCGACCGACAGCTGCCTCCGGTGGAGGTCACTAGCCTCCACACGGCGGCGGTTGGCGAGCAGCCCACGGGGAAGCCGACGCCGCCGTCTAGCAGCGTCTCCGAGTCACTGTCAGCGCTGCGCGAGCGCTACATTCAGGCGGCCGACGTGACGGCGGCGGTGAGTGGCGCGTACGCGCTGCCGACGCTCTGTGAGCTGCTGCACTTTGTCACGCTGCTAATCTCGGCTCTGGTGGTGCAGGTGACGCCGTCGCCGCCGGCCCTGGTGTACCGTTGTGTGTGGACGACGGCGCTAGTCGCGCTGCTCAGCCACCACGGCCAGCGGCTGCAGGAGGCGGCCAGTCGGCCGGCGCGGCTGCTGCTGCGCGCCGCGCCGGCCGCGGATGCTGCCACTGAGGCGCAGGTCGGCCGGCTGGTGGCGCTCGTCAGGGAGCTGCAGCCGGCCTTCAGCGCCGGCGGGGTGGGCAGCATCAACGGCCGGCTGCTGGTGTCTGTGTCGGCCGGGTTCGTCACCTACCTGGTGGTTCTGCTGCAGATGACCTGAGCGGACCGACAGTACGACCTACTCTAAGAGCGGAGAGTACGCCCACTTTCGGAGCGGACAGTGCGCCCTCAGGAGCGGACAGTACGCCCACTTTCGGAGCTGACAGTACGCCCTCAGGAGCACACAGTGCGCCCCACTCCAGGAACGGACAGTAAGCCCCACTCTATGAGCGGACAGTACGCCCTCAGGAACGGACAGTACGCCTAAGTCCAGGAACGGACAGTACGCCTAAGTCCAGGAACGGACAGCACGCCACGCCCCACTCCAGAAGCGGACAGAACGCTCCATACCAGGAGCATACAGCGCACTTCTAACTTCAGGAGTTGACAGTCCGCCCCATTCTAGGAGCGGGCAGTACGCCCCCACTTGTACACCTCTTCTGGGTTTGATGTCCTGAGCGGCCTTCACTGCCGGCCGGGAGTGGTAAAGCGGCAGTCAAGGTCGAGCCGGGGCCGGGAGGCCGGTCAGTAACGAATAGTGCACCCCCACTTGGTCTGATGGTGGCATTTGCTACTCGACAGGTGCACGATCCATTGCTAGCTACCTAACAACGTCCTAGCTACCTAACAGCTACCTAGCTACCTAGCTACCTAGGTAACAACGTCCGTCCCTAGTGACAACGTCCTTAAAAGTGTCTTGGTGTACAGTTTCGATTCCACTTTGTGGAAATCCACATCGATCCCACTTGGTTAGTGTTGCCTTACGCAAGCACTGGCCGTTGCACTCTCATTATGCAGATACGAGTTTTCAATCCTATCAGAAGGTGTTGAAACGGTGGGCAGAACTCCGGCAGATCCCGTGGATCTGGTGATTCATCAATGATGTGGTTAATTATGCACTGTGTGAAATGTGCTGTCTTCAAGCACGATACTCGTTGTTTTCTTTGCCAAAGAACCGTGGAATACTAGCATCAGAGTGTGATGCAGGCCGCAATAAGGCGGTGTAATCACCTGGAATGGTGTTCACTCCAGCGTCGATAGCCAGCTTCTTGGACTGGATTTTGTCGCCCATTCCAGTGATGGCTGCCGCGTTCGGTCCGATGAAGGCGATGTTATTCTCCTCCTGCACAAACCAAAAGAAAACATCATAATACAATATATGTCACATATAACGTTCTTCTCCTCCTTTCAATTAGCACAATTACACATTCAATCTCCCACAAAAATATACCAAAACCCACTCACTGGTCCAATCAGCCCCGCACACCCGCCCTCCGTGCCGCCACCCACCAGCAGTCGGACGAAGTCGGCGTTCTCGGAGAGGAAGCCGTAGCCGGGGTGGACGGCCTGGGCGCCCGTCCGCGCCACTGCGTCCAGAACCTTGTCCATGCAGAGGTAGGACTCGCGCGCCGGCGCCGGGCCGATGCACACCGCCTCGTCGGCCAGCTTCACGTGCATCTGCGGGACAGCGCGGTCTTTAGCGGGCAGATAGGTAGGGGTGCGCTGCTGAGGCAACAAGGCAATTACAAGATTGACTATTGATGTTCATAAGCCGCAACTACAATTTACAAACGATGTTTGCATGGAAAGTGAGACACGTTCACTTTCTCCAATGCTGTTCAGCAGGTTTACCAGACCATAGATTTTCCTAACTTTGTTTTGTCACCCGGCAAACTCACGGCCTTAGCGTCCACATCCGAGTGCACTGCCACGGTGCGGATGCCCATTTTGCGCGCGGTGCGGATGACGCGTACGGCGATCTCGCCCCGGTTGGCGATGAGGATCTTGTCGAACGTCGGCTCACTGGGGTCGATGGGGTCCGTCGTGTAGATGCCATCGTATCCGCTCGGAGCCGCTGCCGACTGTGGGAGCAGGGAGGGTGAGAATGGAGAATGATGAAGGGAAAACGATAAGGAATAGGAAGGGAAAGAGGGAGAGATCCTACCATACATATATAGACAAAGACAAGCAGAGACCTCAAGACAGACAGACTTGCAAAAGAGAGAGAGAGAAGAAGAGAGAGAGAGAGAGAGAGAGAGAGAGAGAGAGAGAGAGAGAGAGAGAGAGAGAGAGAGAGAGAGAGAGGAGAGAGAGAGAGAGAGAGAGAGAGAGAGAGATAGAGAGAGAGAGAGAGAGAGAGAGAGAGAGAGAGAGAGAGAGAGAGAGAGAGAGAGAGAGAGAGAGAGAGAGAGAGAGAGAGAGAGAGAGAGAGAGAGAGAGAGAGAGAGAGAGAGAGAGAGAGAGAGAAGAGAGAGAGAGAGAGAGAGAGAGAGAGAGAGAGAGAGAGAGAGAGGAGAGAGAGAGAGAGAGAAGAGAGAGAGAGAGAGAGAATAGAGAGAGAGAGAGATAGAGAGAGAGA